AAAAGTCCATGTTACTTCTACTGTTGGTAGAGTTAAGTCACTCGAAAGTGTTGCTAGCATACCAATTTCTGTCTTTATATCTTTGGGTAAGAGAAATCATTTCCTCTCTTTGGGTATTATAGGGCCTAGAACAGTATTTTGTTCCCTAGTTTTTGTTTGGGTGGTTGATACTGACATCCATGTTAAGAGAAGTTTTTTTCTTAAGTGTTCTTCTTTTTTTCTTTTTTTCTTAAGCGTTCTTAAGAAGGATTATCAACATAATTCATCCATGTAGTTGCACAAAACTGAATAGTTTTTTAAGGCAATATGTTATAATGACTAAGGGTTTTATGACTGAGACTGCTACATATCCATCAAACTCTGTTCCTTTCGCTCCCAGGCACACCCGGTGGGCATTGCCCACCTTCAACAGGCCACATGGCAGAGCCTGTCCGATGCTATGTGGACGGGGGGCTGCACACCACTTCTGGACTTATCCATAAAACTGTCCATTGCAGAATCTTCCATGCTCTTTCCCCATTAGCTGGCCAAAGAGAGGTTTCCAAGGGTGCAGGAGAGCAAAGCCACGTGGTGGAAGGAGCCTGTGTCTTTGAGTCATCCTTAGAGACAAGCTGGCTGGGGAGGAGAATCTAACGAAATCTTATGTCGAGTCACTGAGTTTTTGGGGTCATTGTTTATACCTAGTAGTCTGCCCCAACTAGGTATGGACTTTGGGTCAGACTGCCTGGGTTCAAAACCCTCATTTTATCACTAGCTGTGCCACCTTGGACAAGCTACGTAACCCCTCCGTGCTTCTGTTTCTTTATATGTGACCTGGTGGTCGTAACATAACGTACCTCACAGAGTAGTTGAGGGGACTGAATGAGGTATACAGCCCTATAATAAACACGGCATATCAGTTATTGTTACTTGATTCCCAAAGAAGAGTCTCATTTTAAGATCGTATCCAAATTGGGGTCACCTACAGGCTTTGGTAGAGTACTGTAAGTTGACTTGTAAAATGAGAAACCGCCCACCTATGATGTTCAACTTTAAGAGGGCCGAGTTTGCTGGGAAAAAAGATTTAAAAGGAAAGGAAGAAAAGGAGGGAAGTAACGAAAGAATGAGGACTTTTGTATTTTAAGCCACTTATGTCCTAACCCAACTTGCTAACAGGTCTGAAAGAGCAAGAAAGGAAATATAGCTCAGCATTAGGTAGTTAATGTGGACAAAACACATTCGGGAGGCTGGCCAACACCGACTCTTGTCACCCTGGCCGCCTTTCTGCCTTGGGTACTGAGTATATTGGGTATCTCCCCCTGCCTCCCACCTTCACTCCTGCTTTGCTTTTTTTTCTTTCAATGACAAATACTCTCTGGCTTTGTTCACATCCCCTCACTTATCTTGTAAAAGCAAAACCAAACTGAAACATGCCAGTAGCCCTTTGCCATTTAGTAAGCCTTATTCTAAGGCATGGTGCCTATAAATAAAGCAATATGATGCTAGGAAAAAACCTCACCAAGTGCACAAACTGCGTTTACAGTCTCTACTATAAATAGATGAAGATTACAGGTTTTTAAAGTGAATGAGAGACTACAGCAAAAATTGTGTGAACTCAGAAAAATGAGTGAAGCATAAAATACACTGTATGTAATAGAAATGGGTATTTACTCGGTAGCAATGACAACAAAGTTAAACACAAGGAAATTAGTACTTTGAAGATTTGGTAACAAGGAACCATGAAATGCCCTGGCTTATGCCCATTTGGAGTTTTCCGGAAGACACTGCTCACTTTATAGGCAAATACGTGGATATAGGAAGTCGGCTATTTATTCGTCAAGATGTTCTTCACTTTTATGAAAGTGAGCTTCTATTTTTCTGAAGTCTCCAAGGCATGAACAAAAGGAAACATGTCTGTGGAGAAAGAAGAGCTTTTCTACTCCATAAACATTCTGCTTATTCTGAAAAGAGGGGGGAAAAAGTAGACGACTTAAAAAAAAAGAAACCTAAGTGAGGTTTTCTGCAAAGTTACAATGCCCAAGGACAGCTCTGATTTGATGCTTTAGCAATTTACATGGAATTTTACTCTAGTGGTTTCTCTAAGATTCTGCAAAAACAAGCAACAAAACAATACGCTATCTCTGAGTCAAAGAAATCATTTTCAGAGCCTAGTGAATATGGCTTCAAAATTCTCCGCTTCCAACAGTATCATTTGAGTGGACTGTAAAGAAAAACCTCTTTCAGTCTTGCAGGGTGATTAAGCCCCGTGGGGTGCTTGAGCCTGTGATTTACCTTCCAGAAGAGCATCTGGCCTCGGAAATCACATGTGGTAGAGAAGGTGCGGAAACAAAGGGGAGTGTTTCACTAGCAGGTGCAGATAGGGTATTTCACTAATAGGCAGCTGAATTGGTTTGAGGATTGGGACACCTTGATTTCTGGAGATAATTTGACAATAGGACATGCGGGTTACACCAAGCAACTTCCATGCTCAACAGCTCTTAGAGGAGTATCAGTGGCTTCATCATCCTCAACAACAATGAAGCAAGAAACTCACTTTTACATTCCTTAAATTAGGCCTAGAATTTCATGATAGCATAATGTGGTATAGTCTTAGCAATAAACACAGATAACAGAGAATATGGACAATTACTGGGATATGTCCCTTCAATTATGTGACTGTTTCTGCACGTCAGTGTGAAGATTTCTCTGATCATGAGTAGAATCAACATTACTATCGGGAGCCCTTGAATTCTAGGAATAGACTTTCAGTAAAGTCATTTATGCATTTTTCCAGCTACCATTCTGTGCTAAAAAAAAAAAAAAAAAAAAAAAAAAAGTAGTGGGAACAGTAGTAGAGAAGAAGACCTGAGATAAGAATTTGAGTCTCAGTACTTCCAGTAGTCTGTGTGACAGCCGTGGGCAAGTCACTTCACTTTTATAGATCTATGTCTTCAACTCCAAGATGGAGAAGTTGGGTTGGCTGGTCTCTAAACCCCTTACAGCTCTAAAAGTCTGGAATACTTACAAAGGCTAGCTAGCACTGAAGAGGCATTGGGTCTATGAATGCTATTAAAATTATGAGGTCTTGTCTTTTAAAAACGCAGTTCAGGGAAAAGCATTTTTTCCCCTCATGGCTCTGGGACTCTAAATCATTTGTTGCGCTAAGGCATGCAAACACCCGACACGGGGCAACATAGTTGTTCTTTGCATTTGACATGCCACGTTAAATGTTAGATGGGTTTATTGTTTAAAAAAAAAAACAAACCTTCTGATTATAATATTCTTACTTATTATTAAAATTTTAAAAAACTAAGCTTTCAATTAGCATCCAATTAATATGACCAGGTGAAGAATTTAATGTCATATTTTTTCCTAAGAAGTGAGTACTTCTGGAAAGGTCAGCAAAGTCCCCAATTCAGACTCTTGCTCCCACAACGGCTGATTCATTTCAAATCCTCAAAAAGCAATCTCCTTATATACTTTCCTCTTTTCATAATGGTCACAGTTCTCTAACCATATAATAAAAATCATGCAAATCTGAGTTTTGCTTACGCCAAAGACAGGCTTATTTGAATAAAGGGACCAATGTTCATCCACTCCAGAGTGAATGCAGCTTGATGTAGTGTTTTTCAATGTGACTTTAGCTGAACTGCTATCGTCAGAGCCTGCACCACGGATCGCTGTACTTATAGGTCTGATCTGTAACAACTGTGGCTTCTAACTGTGCTCTCAGGTCTAGATTTAGCAGCTTCTCTAGCTTTATTCTGGGAGCCAGTCACGGAATATTATTTTATGTACTCTTTACAATTGGGATATTTAATTTGGATTTTTGCCTTATTTTTTCAACAGGATTTAAAAATGTAAACCAACAAATTTCACTGAAGTCTAAAATAGGTTTCCTGTGATTCATACACATCACTGGCAAATATAGGATTGCAGGTATGCTTTTACACACACACACACACACACACACACACACAAATTGACCCTGTGCATATATACAAACATCTTCCCAAATTGGTTTTTCTTTGATACATTTCATAGCAAGGTAAGATATAGTCTAGAAGTTTTCTAATTCACTTTACCATCATAACAATATAAATCATTACTACTTAATCACTAGGCTAACCTAGAAAGGATTCAAATATTAATTTAAAAACCCTTCTAAAATTCAAAAAATTTCCTTCCTTTTTTCTAGAGTCCTGCAGAATTAAAAGTAATATTTACCCTATTACTTCTAGCTTGCATGTTTTTATGCTGATTTCAGCAAATTGTGGCCATTTTCAATAGTCCAGTTGCCTAGAGCCTTGGATGGAATTGAAATGTGTCTGTTTTTTTTACAGATGTTAATTAACTTCTGGAATACATACATCAGTGATGAGTGAGCTCAGTTGAATTTTTCAATGTTCAGCTGCTGGATGAAACCTCTCAGTTGACTAGAACCAGTGAAATTGGCCAGAAATTTGTGTGACAAGTTTGAATTCCTCCTTTGTCATTCTCTTCTCTATCCATAAATCTTAGATGAAAAATTTCTCAATATGGGAGAAATTACACTTTGTATTTCCATTAGAATCAGGAAGCTGAAGGTAAAGAAGAGCAGGAAATGGAAGCAGAGAACATTAAGACTGCAGAGAAAAATAAGTTACGTGATTCTATCAAAATGCTGATTGCACTGGGAATCATCCAATTAGGTTTCCAAATTGAGAATAAGGTTTGTTTGTTTTTTTTGTTTCCCACTTTTAGAAAAAAAGAGATGAGAGATAACAACAATAAAAAGTGGGGTTGGGGTTTAGTTAAGAAAAAAAGGGGGGAAGACACAGGAAAGAAGAGAGGAGGGGAGGCCACCCTTACCCCTCCAGAGGAAGCACTGCTTATTCCATACCTCCTGCCGCAGAGTGATGGTGGGCACTGCAAAGTCTCTTTCATGGAGAGGCAGGAGAGCAAGGACGAACAAACAGATTTAACCCTCCATTTACCAGAAAACTAAATAAATTGTGTCGTTCTCTGAAGCATTCTGATAATCAAGTGTTCCTTTTTATTTAAAAGTGGAACTTCTATATCACAACAGGGGGGAAAACAATCTGTATTATAATTTTAACATTTGCATATGTTTATTTTTCTTTGAGTGGGCATTTCTATCCATCATTTGCTCAAAAAAGAAAAAAAATACCCTGACACACATAGAACTGAAAACCACACGAGGAAACAACAGAAGAATAACAGCGATAACAGTTCCACCGATGGAAGTGGCGTTTGGCCATTTTCACGGACTTGAGTGTTGGTGTTATACAAATGGCAGTGGAGAGCAGCAAAGAGGCTTTTTGTCCAGGACGGCCCATCAAATGGGAACTTATCGTGGGACTTAGCACACTGGTTAGAGCTGCAAAGAGCTCCTGAGGTGAAGTGTGTCATCACTTTCATCTTCCACAGCATTCTGTCGGTTAGGCTTGGCTGTGTCTTTTGAATCCTTTGCAAGGATATTTCTGGTCTCTCGTCTGCTCTCTCAGCAAATCAATGTTCTAATATTTAATGGGCCACAAGTGTATGGAGAACTATGTCATCTCAAGGTGGGGACAGGAAACTATTTCTCTGTGTTCATTCCCTACTGTTATCCCTGCTTCCTCATCTTTTCTCTACCTAAAAAGATCATTAAAAAAAAAAAAAAATCAAAACTACGTATCTTCACAGGTGTCCTAGTCTATGGCCAAGACCATCCTTGTGATACTTTTTGCATAATCCTGATATAATATATTGTATTTGGCACTGAAATCACTTGGTTACTAGTCTACATAAATGCTATTCTATACAAATATTAGCAGAGGGAAAGATCTGGAGATCTGCATCAAAGCAATTAACAAATTACAGATCATCTGCTGAGGAGATGTCAGAATGTGTAGGCAATTGCCCAGTAGGGTGGTCACGGGCATCACATAGGACAGCATATGTATAAGAACTTTAAATGACAAAGCACTTTGGACATTAAGGTCATCATTAGTGTTGTTATTATGGTATAACAACTGATACACTGAGGGGAAAATAAACCCCTAGAAGGCAAAAGCTCTGGTCAGATTTAATACAAGGAATCATTTCCTCTCCATGTCTAACAGTTGGCACTTGACAAGATAATGTAATGTACGGAGGGATGCATCTGAGCCTATAAAGTAGAAATTTGAATATACAAATATATATTATGAAGTATGGTAGGATACAAATTGATGTAAAAATATGCTTTGTTTTCCTTGTTTCATGATTTTAAAAAGCATATATTTTTGTGTTGTTGGATGTTGAAGCAGAGTTAGCAAACCCTTTTGGTTATGTTTTAAGAATGCTTTCACAGTATATGTTATTACAGTGTTGGTATCTTACATGTTAAATAGCTTTCTGAAATATTTAGGACTCAACCAAAAATAACTAAGCTGTAATAGAGATCACTCTAGTGACATGTTTAGTTATGTTGTTTGGGGTAGTGAGAATGGAGTGGTGAGAGGGAAAATTCATCAAGATTTTCTAGTTGGCCCATTTTGTTTGAATTGTTGAAGAATCCCGATTGGTAGGATGTCGGTGATATGTTCATTGTTAGGAAATGGCCTGAGGCGTTAGCTGTAGGAGGTACTGTAGGACCATGGTTTGTCAGGAAGAGATTCCTTCCCTGCCTCTAGGCTAATTAGTAACTATGGTACGGTGCTTGTACCCAGATAGCATTTCTTGGGTCAGTGTCTGACAATCAACCATTCATCAAAATGGTGGAGCTGCTCAAGTTCAAGAGACCATAGAGTCAATAACCTTGCCTCATGAGGCTAAATCCCATGGCTTTTGAGAGTTACGTACTGTCCAAAAATTCTGAGCAGCTATCTTGAAAGATAATCTTCCCATTTCTTAGGTCACTGCTGTCATGTTACTGGCCTTCATTTCAATTCCAGTTAAATTATAAAGTGCAGTATGTAATGTTGAACCTTCAGAAAGAATGTAAAGAGCACACCCACCCTCCGTGAAACCCCAAGTTCAAATTACTGGCAGAGTCACCATCCATATCTGAGAATGTACAGAAACTTGATCATCACTGTTGTTGTCTTTATCGTCATCATCATCCGCATCAGCATCATCAGCATCACAGTTGTGGTATTATGGTGGTGTCAAGTGTTGTGGCAAGATCAGAAAAACTAACATCAAGACACTGTCCAGTTTGGGTGTGTGAATATTATCCTGTGTTTCTTGGCCCATTTAGCAAATACTTTCTTTTCAGTGATAAACCTATGCCCCCCATATGGAGCATGTTCATGAAGAAAATATTCATCACACTCATCTCTTCCTTGTTCATAGTAATGATAGGGGACTTTCCTATATCCTTCTGTCCTAAAAAAGAAAAAGAAAAGAAAAAAAAAAAAAGGAGAGGAGAATTGAGATGAAGAATGAAGCATTCATTTGCAAGAATCCATTACGTGCCTAGTAAATGCATTTACTTGCAAAGCCATGCATGATTCTTGTCTGTGAACTCAGTTAAAAGCTATTATGTATAAAAGCTTTTAGGAAGATGTACCAGATTCTTAGTGCTTTAATAAATCAAATAAAATTTATATATCACACCAATTGCATTTGAACATATACCTGTCTTTGAAGGAGGAAATGGTGGATAATGGAGGCAAACTTTGGCTAGTCTGATGCTGTTGCGGAGCTTGAAGAAGCTTTCTGATTTTTCAGGGTCAGGGATTTGGTTCTTCTGTGCTCCGTTATGCTTATTGTGAGGGGAGAAATATTTGATCATGGAGATTGTGGCTTAGTTACCATTTTGACCGTATGATTAAAATACTCTCTGAGTTAAATTGTGCAAGTTGTTAGTAGGGAAAAATATTTCATTACCTTGGTGACGCATGGAGGGTTTGTTTTATTAAATACTTAGAAACGAGCCCTCCAGCGAGGGTATACTGTGGATAAACATATCTATTTTAAATAAAGGTCTGGTGGATTACTCATTTAGTAGTGAAATATAATTTCCAGGAATTCTCGTTAAGCTGTCAGCTTCTCTGAGGCTTCAGGACATTTTGTCCTTCATGATCAAATAGAACCATTGCATAGCTAGCTATCCATCAAGCCATTAGAGCAGCAGAAATGACAAACTTGCTTTGCAAATTAAATAACCACTAAACTTGTTCTGTATTTCCAAGCCACAAATCCTTGATATGCCACTGATTAAGGGAAAAATGTTCCTTCTGACATTTGACATTAGATTGTGGTAAATATTTTTCTTTTTATCACCCCTAAAAGTCACAACTTGATGCACTGACAATAAAATGTCATGTCAGCAAAGAGCACCAGGAAATAATTGTTGCTTTATCTGTTTCTCCGATTTATGGTATTAAAATGAATTGTGATATTTTGACAAGATATCAGAATTGGAGATGCATAAAAATAATTTCCTGTGATCTTACTTGCAGTAGGTGTCATTTATCATCCCGTAGACGTGAATACCATAACAGGCATCCATGGCCAGAATGAAGGTAAACCATCCCGTGCTGAGATAAGAGCCAGACTGGACTCTGTGGGGGAACAATAACCAACAACAATAACAAACAAAACAACACAAAAACAAAAACAAAAAACCACACACATAACAATAAAGTGTGGTGAGAAATGAGAAAACTTTTATCAAAAAACATAGCACTTGTTATCAGGAAAAAGCATTAAAGAACTTGACAATCTGTCAAAGATACACACTTATTTTGAATTATCTCCGAATAATTTATAGGTATGCTCTCACTTTTACTACCTTAAGCCTAGAAGCTATGCTGTATGGAAGAGAAGCCATATGGCAAATATCTGAAATCAAATAATCCTGCTCCCTTCGGGTAAAAAATAATTTATTTGATTTTCCATAAGATACAAATTAGTGCTGTATATCAGAGGATGGGTTTTCTAAAGTTGCTTGGAGCCCTGATGGAAACTGAATGATAATGGTGTTATCCTGCTTACCTGGACATATCACTTTCTTAAAGACTTGTTGGGTTTCTAAGTGTAAATTGGATGCAGTGCAGGTGAATGACTTGGTCTGTGAAAGCATCTGGAAAGTTTTCCTTTACTGATTTCTAGGCATCATGAGACAAGACTTTTCCTTTGTGAGGCCTGTGTTACCAATCTCTTCAACACATTTTTATTGAACACCTACTATGTGCAACCACTGTTGTAGATGCTGGCGATATAGCAATTATCAAAACAATCAAAGATTCTCTATAGATTTGGAGGTGGCTATGTTTATCAAGGTTGGCCTCAGAAGGCCTCTGATAAGGGGAGCAACGTTCTAGGCTGGGGGGTGAGGTGGGGAGAAGAAGGTTGGTGGTGGTGGTGGTGGGGAAATAGGAAGAAGCCATGTGGAACATATTGGAAAAGGCAGTGTCATCTGTGAAGTCTTTTGACTCTCATCTCAGCCATATTAAGAATGGGCCTTGGGCCTGGACCACTTCCTTAATAAGAGATAAGGAGCCCTCACAGCCTGTGCCTGGCTATTGCCTTACGTGGCGATATCTCTCCCGGGTTCAGGCTCGATGTGTACTCCTTTGTTCTGCTGAAGTATATGTGTTATATGACACCTGGTCAATCCCATACTAAACCTGTCCCCTGCCAAGAGTGGAGAGGGTCTTTCAGTTGCATGCAGTCCAATGGCTCTGAATCAGGTGCCAGGAAGGACCCAATGGCCATGAGGACCGAGGCTCACTATTAGAGCTGATCTTCTTCTGTCTCTTTATGCGAGTAAAGCATTGCTCCACCCAGTGTTTGACTGTGTTATGTTTTTCTTGGCGATTCAAATAAGACACAGTGGGAAGAAGGGCTTGGACTTCTACCTCTGGTGATAGGAGACAGATGCCACTTGTTCAACAGACCATATGAGAGAAAAATGTTCCAGGAAGAGGAAATGTAAAGGGCAAAATCACAAATGTGGAAGTGTGCTTGGTATGTTTAAGGAAAAAGGAAGATGGGAATCATAGTAACTGAGGGGGGAGAGTGGCTGATGTAGTTAGGTGTAGTGCTGATTGGGAGGGGTGACCAAATTTCAATGGTTTAAAGGAATGCGGGATGAAAAGCTGGATCTCTGTACTTGGTCTTAGCAAAAGGGACCCAATCCATCCAAAACAGATGACTGTCTATCCTCTTAATCTCTTCCTATAGGAACATTAGGGTCTCACCGGGTTATTTGGCAACTAACTAACTGTGCAGCACAACTTCTAAAAAAGACTACACTTCCTACCTTCCATCTAGACCTCTTGGCATACTGGAGCATGGCCAGCTCCTCTAGAAACGGACGCTTTAGCTACTGATAACCACTCTCTGGGTACAGCCTTTCAGCCAGTAGTCACTTTCCACTGATGTCCTATATTATTGACATAGCTCTCCAGTACCAAGCAATTGGTGTGCTATAATTAGAACTCTGAATTCTTTGACTCTTCATTTTTAAAAATACAGGCGTTGTTTAGTATCAAATTAACTTACAACATGGAAGCATCTCAGGAGCACCACGAGCTCACAGAGCGTTATGATAACTGGACTTTCTCACTTTTATTTTAATTGACTTTGGGGGATTTGTAAGGAGAGATAAACCCAATCCAGGTAGTATCCATCCCCTCTGCTCACCAGCCCCTGAGTCTGAATTGCCACTGTGTAAGTCGTCTTCTTTTGTATTTCCTGGTGTGTCTTCTAAACGGAAAATATTCCAGAAACAGGATCACATAGAGTTACATGCACTTTCCTCTGTGATAAGAATAGTAGCAGCAGCATGGGTTAGGAATGGGTGCCAAATGGTGGGAAGATGTACCAGAGGGAGGTGGAATACGCTCAAGAGCAACTTTGCTTATTATACAATTTAACTCGCCGTCCATCCTGTGTTCTGGGGTCTGAGGGGGAGCAGCGATGATGAGAACTGCCTAACGCACCATCTGCTTACAAGTCCTTATTTGAAAATTGGGAGAGATCAGAAGAGGCAAGAGTCTTGATTAAAAGCTCCCAAATTGAATCTAGAAATTTTGTCTGCATACTGAATTTTTTCCCATTATATTCCTACTTGAACAATATACCCCCTTTACTTCTTTTTTGCCTTCTCATCCTACTTTTTTTCAATATTTCTATCCTCTCTATCCTTCTCATTGCTAGGCTGACCATGTACTAGCAGAGATCAATAAAAATTACAGAACTTATCTGTACATGATGAGAAAAATAGGTTTCATTTATTTATTTTTAAACAGTTATACAATCCTATGTCAGAAATTATATTATATATTATTATATATATATAATATATAAATATATATATTTTTAAGTGGGCATGGAGCCCAATGCAGGGCTTGAACTCCCAACCCTGAGATCAAGACTTGAGCTGAGAAATCAAGAGCCAGACACCTAACCAACTGAGTCATCCAGGTGCCCTGTGATGAATATTTTCATAAAGAATACATGGTGTTGTGGGATGACATACCTGTCAAAACAATCACAATACATGTAACAAAACACAAGCCTACATGTTTCAGTCAGTACAGAGAGCAGTATGGAATTGAGAGTATGGATACCTAGTTTCACGTTCCAGCTTTGCCACTACCAAGCCGTGGACAATGTATTTAACCTCTATGGGTCATCTTAGTTTCCTTGTCTCTAAAATGAGATATTACTCAGCCATCAGAAAAGACTAAAACCCACCATTTGCTTTGATGTGGATGGAACTAGAGGGTATTATGCTGAGTGAAATAAGTCAATCGGAGAAGGACAATCATCATATGGGGAATAAAAGAAGTAGTAAAAGGGATTATAAGGGAAAGGAGGGAAACTGAGTGGGAAAAATTAGAGAGGAAGACAAACCATGAGAGACTCCTAACTCTGGGAAACACATAAAGGGTTGCAGAAGGGGAGGAGAGTGGGGGATAGAGTAACTGTGTGATGGGCACTAAGGAGGGCACTTGATGGTATAAGCACTGGGTGTAATACTATATGTTGGCAAATTGAACTTCAATAAAAACAAAAACAAACAAACAAATACATAAATACATGAAGTGTGCTATAGGCAACAGACAAAAAAAAAATGAGATGGTTGAACCAAGTCATATCTAAGGTTTGTTCTACTTTTAAAAACAAATGCTTCTGTGATCATCACCCTCAATAGTCAATCTGTTTTAAGCTTTAACCCATTCTACAGTAATACGCTCCACACATGCTGAATGTGTAACTAACAAACACATTAATCAGTCAGACTACATTTAATGCCCACTTGTGTGGTCGGCGTGCCACTAAATGTCTGAGGCATATATAAAAAGGGTATAAAGTTTCACCTCACAATGGTGGTGGCTATAGTCACTAAATTTTCTGTCTTTCACATTACTGCTCCTGGAACATGCTGGAATGGCTGTCCAAGACCAAGGACACAATTAGGTCATAGTATTGAGAGTAAAGCTTAATTTGAGTGAGAGGAAAAGTAAACTGAAATTAGGACAAATTGTGTTTCTTTTTGTGTGGTTTTCCAGGAGTCAGTTTGTTCATAGAGTGGCTAACTGTCAAGGACCTAGATAATATTATAGCTCCAGCATGAGGGGATCATCATTTGTGTGACATGTGGACCTCAACTCTGCAAAACAAGGTCTCCTGGCTCATTCTGGTCCAAACCAGCATAGTCACTTTGAGCGTTTAACAACAAACTTTGAGAACAGAAGCAAAGGATAAATAGGGTAAAGTTGAGAAAGTGGTTCCTCTACATATCTATCTTCTCTTTACTACATGAAAAGAAGGTCAAGAATTTCAGAGTTTGGCATCTGGTCAAAGATCTTTCCATCTCATCAACTAATAAGGAAACTTTGCCATGTCTCTGATAGTTGATTACTTTTAAGCTTAATCTATTACTTTTAAGCAAAACCTTATTTTGTTTCTGGATAGACAGATCATAAGAGTTAGGCTGAAAATCTTCAAGCTGTGTTGCATTTGGTTCAGACTGTGGGGACACATACTGCTTAAGTGCCTTGTCCTAAAAACAGCACTTTAATTAGACAGTTGCATTTTCTCTCTCTGGTGCCTCTGATAAATTTGGGATGTGAAATCATGTGAGGTTTCTTACCCATAGTACATGCTGGGGATAGCAAAGTGGTGTCTTCTCGAAAAACTTGGAGCTAATGTCATGTAAAGAATACTTTTGGTGGAGTAATGGCAACCACTAGATTAATCCAGGAATTCTTCTGAATAATTGCCCTGGCGACCTGGGTCTCTAATGAGACTCGCTGGCCTGGATGGCACTGGCTCTGGGAATTCTTTACATCATTCCAAAGTCCTGCTGTGTGGGTGTTCTAGAAATGAGGATGTGTAAATTACACCCAACTAGACCTTTTGAGATCCAATAAAAACAACAAAAAGACTTGAGGTGATGTATGTGAACTTGTTTATGCTTTTTAGCTAGAAGAGACCTAGTGATGACTATCAGATGCTTTCAAAAATTCTTAAAGGGTCTCCTCTGGGGCCAAATACTGTCTTGTAATTTGTCACTCATGCACGCGGCACTAACTATGTACCAGCTGGC